GAAAATATCAATTAAAGGTACTTAGGATTGATTTCCTTCCTTATCCCTCTTTTGTAATGACTTATGTTAATTAAGAACGTCAATTAACCTAACAAGGTTGATGCCACCTACTCAAATCATCTATGTTGATTCCTCACACATTAAATTCATAAGAAAACCTAATATATATTGATTCCTCACAGAATTAACAGATTTTTCAGCATTAGGGTTAGGGTGTTTAAGAAATTGATACATTCATTCCATTCTTGGCAATTAACGTAACAAATATTCTTACCGTGATCTAGGGTTCAAGATATATTTTCCAATCATACCTCAAACAATCAAGAATAAATCATTCCAAAGCATAAAGGATAAGAATAACAACATCAAAGCATAGATTAATATCTCAAAATAACACCATGATACAAAAGAGTTCAAAGGAAGTGCACCGAATCCTAAGAGAATGAAGTTAGTCACTCATGTTGGCCATTACAATGCTCCAATTGATGAAGAAGTGAAGAATTGATGAAGATTGGACAAAACCCTAACAGTAGTTGTACCTCCTCTTCTCCAAGACTGCTTCCTTTTCTCAAAACACAACTTATCTTTTTATAAGAGAATTTGGGTCGGGTCTCGCATCATTCATTCGCTTAAGAGTTCTTCTTTCTTTCAATTTTACTCCAATTATGTTGACAATTATGCTCCTTACTCTTGTATCAAGGTATTCTCAAATTTATCCTATATTGAGAGAAAAATATATTAGAATTAACAAAAGTTAAGTGGTTTCATAACAATTCAAGGCATAATTATATCAACTTTTTAACACTTAACAGATAATCTAGAATATCTAGGAGGTGGTGGATCAAACCTATAAATAGGCAATGTCACTTATATAATGAAAACCAAATAACACTAGAAAATATACTGCATAAAATTAATTTTCATCATTCTCTCCAAATTTTTGCTAAATATATTCTACTAAATCTGCTTGAAGTTGATGGTGAGTGTTTCCATCTTGAACCGCTGCTCTCCTTTGAAAGTATGTAGATCTAAAATTAGGATAAGGACTTGAAGATATATCAATAGCCAACATGTCATTTTCTCTAATATCATAATCAACATGATTTTGATAAGTGTATCATTCATAATCAATATGATACATGCATAAATTATGTTTTTCCAATGTATGAGCATCCCAAAAATGTTTCGGACCATATATAATTGTAAATCAAGATTGAAGACTCTAAATGCACGATCAACATCCTTTCTGGCTAACTCTTGTGGTTAAACAAATAATTTTCTTTTCTCCTTGTGGCATTGAAATAATTTTCACAAATGTGGCAAAATATGAATAAATATCATCTTCTAATAATATCTCATATCATATTGTATTTCATTCACAATGTAGTGCACCACAAATGCAAAACGTGACATAACTTCATTAAGCACATTAGATGCATTTAACATTGAAATATCATTATTTAACCTTACAGTACCAAAAAATGCATGCAAAATCCATAAGTTTTGTAATGGAACAACTTCAAGAATGATTGTTGGGTTAGCATGATCATCTACACAAATTTAACATTTTCATACAACTGAACAATTTTTCCATTCCTAATGCATGTAATCAATTGATCCTAACATACCTGGAAAGCCACATGTCACTCCCATTTGTAGTAGTCGATCAATATCTTCGTTGTTAGGCTTCCTTAAATACTCATTTCAAAAGACTGCACACATGTCCGATACAAATCGTTGTTAGCATTCCACTATAGTGCTTTCACCAATTTGAATATATTTGCCCACACTATCAACAAACAAGTGAGTCATAGACCAATATGCAAACAACAATAATGCACTTTTGCAAAGTTGATATACCTCTTCTTTGTGTTGCATCTAGTCTCATTGTAAAGAAATAATTGTGATTCCCAAGGGCTTTCACAATTCTTACAAAAATCTCCTTTCACATACGGAACCTTCTTCAAAATTAAGATTTCGTGTTGTTAAATTATTGGCAAGCATACCAAAATTATCAATCGCAGTATAGTATTTCGATTAAATAAAAGTCGATCCCACAAGGAACGATTTCAATGGAAATTCCCAATTATATGCTTACTAAGTATATTAAAACAGATTGGGTTTTGCAATAAGAGTTGAATTGAAATTAAATGACAAAGAACTGTAAATTGTTGAGAAAATATCAATTAAAGGCACTTAGGATTGACTTCCTTCCTTATCCCTCTTTTGTAATGGCTATGTCAATTAACCTAACAATGTTGATGTCACCTAGTCAAATCATCCATGTTGATTCCTCACACATGAAATTCATAAGAAAATCTAATAAATGTTGATTCCTCACACAATTAAGAGATTTCCCAGCATTAGGTTTAGGGTGTTAAGCAATTGATACATTCATTCCATTCCTGGAAATTAACGTAACAAATATTCTTACCGTGATCTAGGGTTCAAGATATATTTTCCAATCATACCTCAAACAATCAAGAATAAATCATTCCAAAGAACAAAGGATAAGAATAACAACATCGAAACATAGATTAATATCTCAAAATATCACCATGATACAAAGGAGTTTAAAGGAAGTGCATCGAATCCTAAGAGAATGAAGTTAGTCACTCATGTTGGCCATTACAATGCTCAAATTGTGGAAGAAGTGAAGAATTAATGAAGATTGGACGAAACCCTAGCAGTAGTCGTGTCTCTTCTCCTCCAAAACCGCTTGCTTTTCTCAAAACACATCTTCTCTTTTTATTGGAAAAATTTGGACTTTTGGGCTTTGCATCTTTCGCTCGAGCGAGAACTTTCGCTCAAGCGAAAGTAGCCTATTTTCGCTCAAGCGACAAAATGCTCGCTTGAGCGAATGAACTCTAGAGAAGAATAACTAACATTCACTCAAACAAATTTTCCTGCACTTGAGCAACTGACTTCCAGAGAAGAATAACTGATATTCGCACAAGCGAATCTTGGCTCGCTTGAGCGAGTGAACTCCAGAGAAGAATAATTAACATTCGCTCAAGCGAGAATCCATCCCGCTCGAGCGACTTTCATGCTGAAAATCTTCTTCCTTCTTCTAGTTTTACTCCAATTCTGCTGTCAATTATGCTCCTTACTCTTGTATCAAGGTATTCTTGAATTCATCCTATATTGGGAGAAAAATAGATTATAATTAGCATCAGTTAAGTGGTTTCATAACAATTCAAGGTATAATTATATCAACTTTTTACCACTTAACACATGTATATAGGATATTTAGAAAAATAATAATTGAATAATTTATGATGACCTTCTTCACGATTTTGATGAATTACCTTACTTCTTTTTTTGTCACCACATTGTTGTCAATTTGTTGGTACTCAAGTAGTAACCTCATGATTTCTTCATCTTTGTTATCTTCAAGTTCTCCATCTATGACTTGATCCAACAATATGTATAAATTAATGTTTTCAAAATCCATTGTATTTATAATTGAAGTGTTTGAAGATAGAGAATAATATTGTAATACTAGAAGATGTGAGACATTGCATAACATTCTATAACTATATATGGATTACAACGGTTAGTTTTCACAATGACTAGTTTTTACAACGACTAATTTTCACAATGGCTACTTTTCATATCATAACGATTAATACATTTCTTAATGGTTACAATTAATTAACATAATGATTAATATATTTAAAATCCTTGTTTTTTTCTAATATAGTTACAATATTTTTCGTAATTTGCACATTGCTTCGAAGACATGTTAGACATGTCCTTCATGAGGATTCCATACTCTAAACGCATTTCTTGTGACTTCTTTAACTTAATTAATTCATCGAACTTTGTGTTTTTTTTTCCTTATTTCACTTTCTATGCTAGATAAATCAATATGAGGAGTAGCGCTTGCACTGACTTTTCCTTTTTCTCTTTCTCTTGATAGCCTTTTGTCCTCTAGGGTGACATATTGGAGATGTTATGTCACATTCTTCAACTTCAATGGGTGTATTTGGGTTAAAAGATAATGAGTATGCACCTGAAGTAGAAATATTATATATTTTTGAAGCATCATCCATAAATATTGATTAGCATTTTGGTTCATCTCTTAACAACAACCAAGCATGTTCATATTCAATTTTTTTTCCTTTCAAATCTTCTGTGAAAAACTTATGCGCGAATGACATAACATCTTTCTTGGTCCAACCAGTTTTCCATTTATTGATAGCTTGCTTATAACATGCATTAAATTTTTGAATTGCATGGTGAAGTTTATTCTATCAAAATTTTAATTGACTCACCAGCCTCTTTGTGAAAGCGTTATGTTCATTGTCATTGTTGTATGCTTCTTTGATTTGCTCCCAATATTGAGTTAATGATTGATCAACTCTAACAATTAGATCTTTCAACACATTCAATTCTGATCAAATTAGAATCATATCCTCTAGTATTGAGAATGCTACACAAGGTTTTCTCTAAGACATATTTGCACCACTTCCATCAAGTTGGATATTATGGAGTCTGATTGGGAAATGAGGCTCTATGGTTAATGAAGGAGAAATGTTATTCATATTTAATGCCATTAGAGGTGGTGGAAACATAAAAAATGGTGATGGATAAATATAATTTTGGAAATTTTGAGAATGTTTACTCACAAGAGATGAATGATTTTGCAATAAATTATAATAATACTGGTAATTAAATTAATTAAGATCCATAATTGGAGAAGAAGAAAAATGGTGAAATGAAGGATATGAGACAAAAATTTTACTCTTAATTGAGGTTTTATAGTGTAAAAAAACTATTACTCAATGGTTACTCAATTACACTCAATGGTCAAAACTACAAACACATCTCAATGCCTAACAACAGGCACAATCCAACAATACGTTTTTTTCTCTTAACAATTTAACGATACAATTTTTCCAACTACTCCATTCTTCCACTCACACATCCTCTTCCATTCTCCTTTCTCCCTTCCACTCTTCTAGATCTCCTTTCTCCCTTCCCCCTTCCTCTTCCTCTTATCCCCTTTTCCCTTCCCTCATCCCCTTCCTCCCATCTTCTCTAACATTACGTCCGTTGTCACTGCTTCTACTGTTATTGTTGTTGTCTCCTTTGTATATGCTACTATCGCTACATTTGTGTCTGCTGCCATCATGTTTTCTACCATGATATCCTTCCCCACTGCATCCTTTACTGCCACATCCGTTACCCACTGCATTTGTTACCCATCACGTCTAATGTCATTATGTTTGTTGTCATTGTTATTGCATACATTGTCACTGTCATTTCGTTCACTAGTGCAAAAATGGGCTTTTACGTCAGGTATTTAGGGCTTTTTATGTCGTATTTAAGACTGACGTTAAAACGGGAGACGTAAATTTACATCGGACCCTTTAGTCCGACGTAAATTTACGTTAGTTATCAAGACCCGACGTAATTTTACGTTGCATATACCACTAAACAAACGTAAAAACTTTCAAAATTTAAAAAAAATATAGCAAATTTACGTCACATATTAGTATACGCGACGTAAATTTACGTCACATGTACTAATATGCGACGTAAATATACGTCGCATGTAGACGTAAATTTACGTCGGATGTAGCAATATGCGACGTTAACTATTATTCCCGTCCCTCGATAAATAACCCTTACGAAAACCATACACAAAACCCAAGACATCCTGGGTTAAAATAGTTTCAATTGAAGCGTTAGAAAACCCAATTACCAATTTCAACACCAAGACCCTGCATCCTCGAAACGAGGACGCTGGACGCGAAGAGCCTCCGCATGGTCTCGCGGCCATAGACGGCGAGTTGCCGACTGTGCAGATCCTCGTCGATCTCTGCTGGGTGCGAGCCCCCCAACGCCATTCCTTCGATCGAGTTCCCACCACCGCTATTGTCGCCGCTGCCGCTGCTACTGAATCCCCGACCGCTGTCGTCCACCGCCGATTCCGCAGCACCCGAGCAGGCAGCAAAGCAACTGATCCGAGCCTTCTCGGAAATATTGTTGTTGGTGGCGACGTCAGTATCTCCTTCAACTACCACTCCTCCTTCACTCACTCTCTTTCTAGGAAGCATATAGTGAAGTAAACTGCGGAAGACACAAGGTAAACGCACCATCGAAATTACAACCAAAACGAAAACAACCAAATTGAAACAAAAATCATAACAAATAAGATCCATCCTGTTGATGATATAAGAATAAAAAATTATACAAAACCCTAAGTAGCACTAGATTCGAGGTTGGAAGAAAGAAGGAAGAAGGAGATGAATCTGAATCTAGGTGGAATGGAAGGGAAGGAAGGGAACGTACCGAATGAAACTTGAGAGAAGAAAGGAATGAAATAAGATTGAAAGGTGGGGATCGGAAAGACAGATGGAGAGAGAGTTTAGGTTCCCTTGAAGCTGGGTTTGGAGATGTGAGTGTGAGAGAAAGTGAGAGTGGGTATAAGAGAAAGAGAAAGAGAAGGAGAGAAGGGTATTTATGGATTTGCATGCAAATTTTGGTTTGTTAAATTGTTATACGCACCTAGGGTTTTGCCTTTACTCGATACCATTTCTATATATCTTCTCTTTCTCTTTCAGCAGTGAGCGAAAGAGTGGGTCTGTTACTGTGAGATGGAAGAATAGTGAGCACTGTAGACAAAACGAATGCACAGGGATGAGTACATGCCACGTCGCCGTTTTAAGTTCTCCTTGTCTCTAAACGACGGATTCTTCTGTTCTGGACCCGGCCAAACCAAACAGACCCCTCCATGTATGTATTTGGCGATGGATGAAAATTCCAAAGCTATCACTTTTTACGTGGCGCACCCAGCACGCGACGTAAAAAGTTTTTTTTTTTACGTCGCGCCACGTGACTGCGACGTAAAAGAGGCTTTTTACGTCGCGTGTCGGGGCGTGCGACGTAAAAGTTTTGTCTTTTATTTACAAAATTGTCACCGCATTTTATTTACGTCGAATATTTTTACATGCGACGACAATTCCACTAGTGGTTGGTAGTTGTTGTCGTTGCGTCTACTGCTGAGTGGTGCGATTTCTGTTGGGATGTTATATAATTTTGATTTTGAATTTAATTATTGTTGCTTGGTGATTATGGTTGATAATTTTGTAATTTTTTATTGAGGAGGTATGAATTCAAATAAATTTTTGGGTTGATGTTCAATCAATTTTGAGAATGAATTTTGGATTGATGACTAATGAGTTTCGTTCACTTGTGAAATATTAAAATATTATATTTTATTTTAAGCAACTGTTACTTATTGAAGCAATTTTTTCTGAATTTAGAGTAATTTTTCATACCATGTCATCCTCTCCAATAGGAGAAATGCTCTAAAATACATGACATGGTTAGTGGTACCTAACCTATGTCACAAAATATTGACTAAAATTTTGACCCATAAAATATTTCATTTTGTAAAATATTATTTTCATCCTTAAAAATTGGACCACCAAAAGAATTTTTGTAACATATTAATTACTATATTTTTCCATTTTCGACACAACTATCTTGCCGACGTATTTTTTGTCTAGGGATTGTCACTCACACATCATACACCAATCCATTTTTAAAGTTTAATGTTGAGTAGTGTAAAATATATTTTTTAATCAATTTTTAATGAATAAAAATTTGACATAATAAAAATGTAATAATATTTTTAAATTAAAATAATTTTTTTTATGTTGGATTGTAAATTTTAATTTTTACCAGATCACGTAAAAAATATTTTATATTTCTATCAAGATTTTATCATCCTCGTATGCACAAGGGTTTTTGGTTGTTTGACAATGATGACATCATCACTAAGATCCATTGGTAGTTCTGGATATTTCTCTTCATTAGATTGAAGCATTTAAGCGGCTATTGTGTAATTGATGTTAGTATTCTATGTCTCTATTTTTTATTGATATTGAAATAGAATGAGATCGGTTTGCACTTACAAAAGTTGCATATAAAAATATTACTAAAGAATAGTTGGATAAGTTTTTATCACCAAAGTAATTCGATATAAACCACTTATCACTTGTGAGTCATTTTTATTTAGACAGTGGGTTAATTAAACACAGAAATATAGTAACATTAACCAATGTCTTACTCAACAATTAATATGAAGTCAACTTTTATAATGGATATCTCACGTATCAGCTTAACAAAGATAATTATAAAATTGTTTTGATTGCAAATTTGAATTTTAAACATTATTTAATGACTTTATGAAACTTTGTTGAGATAAAAATGAAGTTTTTAAAAATAAAAAACTAAACTTAAAGGAAGAAATTCTTGAAATGCATAAATGTGAATTATTAGAAAGAATAAATTGTTGGAAAATGTAAATTACCAAAGATAAAATAGAAATTGAGAGAGAAAATCAATAAAAATTGTAACCCAAATTTCCAAGAACTTTATTGAAAAGCCTTTACCTTGTTCGAAGTGTTCTTTAGAATGCAACTTTATTAATACAATTTGTTACCTCTTTCAATTTATTTGATTATATTTATATTTATTCTCTTTTTAACTGCTAAAACATAAAATAAATAAAAAATACAAATAGTGTAAACTATTTCTTTCCCTATTAACATTTTTTACCCCTTTCGTATGGTTCTATTAGCACAGGTGGAATTATAAACACTTCTATCAAATCATGAAATTATAATTGTTTCATATCCTTTCTTGATTTATAACTCACTTTCAATATCTTCCTTGATTTTTTTCATTCTACCTTGCCATCTAATTCTTCGATTTTCTTCTTTTCTCCATTCTCGAATCCTCGATCCAACTCTCCTTTATTTGTGAAACTTGATATCTTTTCTTTCTATTACCTTTAATATCTAATTCCTTTTACCCTCTTTTACCTTCCATGTTTGGATATTTAGTTCTTGTTCTCAAATTTGATATTTTCTAAACTTATTCTTTCAATTTATTTGTAAGTTTTTCTATAACCTACTTGTGTTTATGAATACACCTTTGTGACAGAATGTAACCTCGACGAAAATCTCAAATAACTTGCACTTATCACTTGAGGCACCTTTTATGCTCGCTCCTCCAGCCCCATCTACTATCGAGGTATTGATTTTTTATGGATATATATGCGTTGATATTCCCCATTTTTCTCTATCATTATTTTTTATATCTTAAGTTAGATTATTTCTTTCCCGAAAATCCAAGGTGTACATATTTAAGCTTCTTCGGGTGATTCAAATATTAAGATCATTGTCCTTGGTAATTCATTGATTTATACAAATTGTTTTGTATTCACTTTGAGATATCACTCGATAGCACACCTATTTCGTCATGTTTATTAATTCAAATATGCACTTTCCAGAATCTCTTGATTAACTAGTTGCCATTATGCTTTTAGAAGCCACTCCTCATGAGGTGATCATAATGTCCACTAATTTTTCAAGTAAAGTATTGACCAATAGTCATGCTACTATTCTGAAGGAGATTGAAAAGAATCCATTTAACATCTTGGACCTTATGACAACTCACGTGGAGTCATTCAAATCAACAACTAGTTCTTTTTCCACACCTTCACTTCAACTCAATGTGCTTAACTAAGTAAATAAATTTCAAAAATTCATTTACATTGAACCCATAGAGGTAACCATTGAGGTTCCTAACAAAAAGAGAGAACTCCAAGAGATTTTAGACAAGATCCAAGTCATCCCATCTAAGTACTTCCCACCAAATTTTGAAGAGAGAGTCATGGTTGCGACCAACATGTTCAACGAGATTTGAGTTTTAAGGAAGAAAAGGTTAATGTTGAAAGTGATGAAGATCTTATTGAATTATTTGGAAAAGATCTTGTTGATTTGATGAAGTAAAAAATAAAGTCAAAGGCTACTTTGTGGCAGTCAAATGTCACTTAGATAAAAGAGTAGTGGGATTAGTGAATCTGCATCTCTGCTTAGGTATAATCATTTTTATCTCTCTGCTGCATGAGGTTTCTTCATTTAAAAGATTTTGCAAATGCCTCTAAAAAATGTTTAAATAGTTAAAAACAAAGTATTTTGTTAAAAGATTTTTAATTAACTATTTTAACTAACAAGTATATAAGCTTTATCAACTAAAATGTTCTTAACACTTTTGTAACGGGTTTTTAACTGATATGTTTTCGAAATAATCGATTATTTTCATTAGAAGGATTTTTGAAAACCTTCTGCCAGTATTTTAACTGATATAGAATTGATATAATCGATTAAAATGACTTAAAATATTTTGAAAAGTGTTCTGGCAGAATTTTAATCGATACAAACTCGAAATAATCGATTGAAATAACGTGAAGTGTTTTGAAAGTTGTTTTGTCAGTATTTTAATCGATACAAATGCGAAATAATCGATTAAAACAACTAAGAGGTTTTTCCAGAATGTTTTAATCGATTAATACAAGCTTGCTATCAGTTAAAATAACTTAGAAAGTTTTATGAAATCTTTTGGCAGAATTATAATCGATTAAAATGCATTTCAATCGATTAAAATAACTAAGTGAATTTTTTTCAAAGTGTTTTAATCGATTAAAACAGATTGTTATCAGTTAAAATCACTTAGAAAAGTTTATAAGAATGTTTTGCAGTATTTTAATCGATTGAAAGACGAAACAATCGATTAAAACAGTTTGGAAGATTTTTTACAAAGAGTTTTAATTGATATAAACGGTGTCGTATCAGTTAAAACAAATCTGGAAAATAATCAAGAATTTTTTAACAGATTAAAAGAAGTTTTAACAGATTAAAACAAGACTTTTAACAGATTAAAAGATTATTTTAACAGATTAAATAAACCAGCAGTTTTGAAAATCTTCTATATAAACAAAGTTACTTGAACTTTTTAAAACACATCTTTTAGCAATCAATCAAGCAATCATAAGTGCTACTTTCAAGAGAGAATCGCGCTAGTTTTTTGAAGTTCATAGAAGTTCTTTCTTGAGGCAAAATTTGCATTCTTTTGGAGAAGAAACTCATACTGCAGAGTTGCATAAATCTGGTTTGAGCGTTCTAGTTTCTTCTCTTTGTTTCTTTACTTTCTTTACTGTATTATGGGTGCCTAGAATTGTGGGCACTGGTTTCTGTGGCTGGAATTTGGCTGTAGGGTTGTTCAAGAACTGGAATTTGGTTCTTGGTGAAGGTTTAGGTGCAGGGACTGGAATTTTGGTTCTTGTGGTAGATTGAGTGTGAGATTAAAGTTGTAATCTGTAAAACGTTCAATCTAGTGGAACTCAGCTGGAATTTGGCTGGAAACTAGACGTAGCCCTGAGATTGGGTGAACCAGTATAAATCTTGGTTGTATCTTTTTAAACCTTTCTCTCATTTAATTCTGTCACTGCCTTTATTTTGATTGCTTGCTGTGTGTGATTCAAGAACTGGTTAGAATTCTTAATCTTTGAAATAGATAATATGTAAATTGCGAAAATTTTTCAAAGATCAATTCATCCCCCCTCTTGATCTCAGCCTACATTTCTAACAAATGTTGGACACACAGAAGGTTGAGATTGAAGTTGTTCGAGCCAACAAAATAGAGGTGCTAAGTCAAAATATATTCAGGTTCGAGGCTATCAAACTTGAGAAATCTGCAACTTCCACTTCCCTAAGTGTAAGTATGCAAGTCTCAAACAACAAATATTTCACCTCCAACAACAACTTCAAGTCTCTAAGGTCAATAATGAGAAGCTTTCAAAGTCTAGTAACACTCTTAAGGAAGAATCCTCACGTTTAATCTCCTTGTCCAAGAGTGTTGTTTTTGTTAGACAAATGACATCTAGATGGGGGGGAGGGAGTGAAAAGATGCACAAATTAAAATAGATGCCAAAATAAAAATTTATTTTAGATGTCCAATAATTTGTTAATTCAATTTTAATTATCAAATTGAAATCAAATAGAGTGGAAGTAATATAATCAAAAAGGTAAAAGAGAAGTGATTAAGAAAAGAAGAGTGATAAAGGGAAAATAAGAGCACACAGTAATTTATACTGGTTCGGGTATAGTCAACCCTACATCCAGTTCTCATTCACCTCTAACACAAGAGTGACCCCAATTCACTATCTTTCAAATTCAGTTTATAAATTACAATCAACTCAGCAGAAGAATTAGTAAAAAGTAAACTAATTAAAAAGATAATCACCTCCTTAGAAACCCACTAAGGATAAACACCTCCCTAGAATCCCACTAGAGATGAACACCTCCCTAGAATCCCACTAGGAATGAACACCTCCTTTGAACAAATCAAAGGATGAAAACACCTCCTTAGAATCCTACTAAAGATGAACACCTCCCTAGAATCCCACTAGGGATGAACACCTCCTCTGAACAAATCAAAGGATGAAAACACCTCCTTAGAATCCCACTAAGGATGAACAACTCCCTGAATAAATCAAATGGATGAAAACACCTCCCTGAACAAATAAAAGGGATGAACAGTTTTTACACAGGAAACCCAAATAAATATAACAGAATAACAACAATCACTTAAACCCTAAATAGGGAATTTAACATCAACATCCTAAGCCCTAGAAAAAGGGATTAAGGCAATCAAATAACAGCAACCACCTAAACCCACAAAGGATGAAGACAATAAAATAAGAACAGTCGCATCTGGGTAATGGAGACAACAAATTGTAGAAGCATGTAGAATGCCAACCTCCAAGAATAAGTGTGATTAACAATGAAAGTGTAGAAGGCAGTAGAAAAGAAGGTTTTCTTAGAAGGTGTAAAATATCTCTATTGTCTTGCTCAAAATTCTTTTCTTAAAACTGAGTGAATGTAAAATTGTAATTTCGAATTCTGTAATTGTGTGTTTTTTATTTTTCATCAAAACTCATTTAAATAGGAAAATAGTATTGAAAACGAACCCAAAATAGTTATTGTTCAGTAATAAATATTTAGAAAAAAATCAGGAAGTTCCCAACAGCTATAATTCTTCAAAACAGATTTATTTTTCAAATTTAGAATTGCTATAATAGATTATCTTCCCAGCATAATCGATTATGACAGAGTAAAAATCAATTTTTCATTTTTGATGCATCATAATCGATTATCATACTTACATAATCGATTATGTCACTTATATAATCAATTATGTCACTTATATAATCGATTATCTCACTTATATAATCGATTATGACAGGGTAAAATCATTTTTCTCGTTTCTGAAGCATCATAATCGATTATATCACTTACATAATCGATTATGGACTTCACATAATCGATTATGGACTTCACATAATCGATTATGACAGTAAAAAATGTCATAATACAAATTTTATCACACTTGTGCTTTGGAGGCTTATGCATAATACTACTTCATTAATTTGTACCTCCATATTCATTATTCTAAGACTCTATCTAGTCTTCAGGAATCATCTTGGGCTTGCTTGAATCTTAAATAGAATCTTTATCAAATCATATATTGCGCTTGCTTGACTCTTGGATGTTGTTGACTTGAATCATCATCAAAATCATCTCTTGGGAATGTAGGGACATGTTTCACATTGTCATCAATCTCCCCCTCATTGCTTTCAATCTCTCCCTTTTTTATGATGATCAAGGAAACACCTGAAATGAATTAAAATGTTTGACTCTATATAGCCAACTCAAGATTAGCACAAATTTTCACAGTATAGTATAGTGTAGCACAAATTAACCCAGATTAGCACAATATATTTAAACTCCCCCTAGATATGTTAATAACAAAGCTCCCCTAACTCATTTGAGCAAAACTTCTCCTAACTCCCCCTGTTTAATTCAGAATTAGGAATGGATTTCATACAGATTTTAATTCATCAAAAAAATCTCTCCCTGTTTCATTGATAATAAAAAAAATATTATAAGAGAAAAAAAATTTCCCTCTGTTTCACACAGATTAATATTATCAAAATCTCTCCCTATTTCATTGATAATTATGAAAAATATTGCAATAGAAATTGAGCACAAATTTGCATAGATTAGTACATAAATTAAGGCAGAGAAGATAATGCATCACAAAGTGTCATAGAGAAGAACATCATATTAAGGAGACAATATGATGTGAATCACAAGGGGTGATTTAGGATCTTTAGGGTTAGAACCTTGTACAAAATTTAGGAATTTAGTGATAAGGTGGAAGGAAAGAATCACTCTTCCCAAAGAAGGCAACTCACAAAGGATGTGAAAGTCCTTTGATACAACCAAGTGTTTTTGAATCATTCAAGAATTTAGGAGAATCACTCTCACCAAGATAAAAGAGCTAAACTCCAATATTTTTAAATAAAATTCAACTTGTTATTTCTGATAAAAATGGTTCAGCTTATAAAGAAGCTTTAACATTAGAGTTACAAAGATTCACTAAAGGAAAATAAATGCTAATAATGATTTATTAACCTACTACTTAATGGTTGATTGTAACTGAAATTGTGACAACCAAAAGTCAATCAGCTATGCACCCTCTTGGTCTCCTAATCAGTAAATCATAATTTGGTCAACCAACAATACTTGTTAAAGACCTTCCTTTGCTTCCTTTACTCTAGCCCTTGTTGTTAGACAAATGGCATCTAGAGGGGGGTGAATACAAATTAAAATAGATGTCAAATTAAAAATTTATTTGTGAGTCAATAATTTGTTTGAACACATATAAAGCGGAAGCGATAATATAATCACGAAAAGGGAAAGAGATAAGGGAAGGAAAAAAGAGCACATAGTAATTTATACTGGTTCAGGTATAACCAACCCTACATCCAGTTCCTAGTCAACTCTAATCACAAGAGTGACTCCCAATTCACTATCTTTTAAATTCAGTTCACAAATTACAATCAACTCAGTAGAGGAATCAGTAAAAATTAAACTAATTCAAAAGACAATCACCTCCTTAGAAACCCACTAAGGATGAACACTTCCCTAGAATCCCACTAAGGATGAACACCTCCTCTGAACAAATCAAAGGATGAACACACCTCTTTAGAATCTCACTAAGGATGAACACCTCCCTAGAATCCCACTAGGGATGAACACCTCCTTTGAACAAAGGATGAAGGTAATAAAATAAGAACAGTCACACCTGGGTAATGAAGACAACAAATTGTAGAAGTCTGTTGAATGTCAACCTCCAAGAACAAGTGTGATTAACAATGAAAGCACAGTAGGCACTACAAGAAGTTTTATAATTAGCTAGGAAAATTAGTTACAAAATTTATTTTTCACTAATTTGTAGCTAATTAGCTATGGAATAGTGAAAGAATAAGGTTGTAGCTAATCTGTAGTAAAATAGCTAGAAGACTAATATTTTTGTAGCTATTCTCTCACTTAGCAAAAAAATAATTTAGTTAGGAAAATTTTTGTCACTAATCCCTAGCTATAAATATTAGCTATATTACTTTTTGAAGCTATTTCCTAACTAAATTGTGTAGCATACAATTATAGTTAAATCTGTAGCAAATTTATAGCAACTATCAAATTGAAAAAATATTAAATTATTGGGAATCATTCTTATAAATTATTTTAGTTTTATAAAAATTATTTATAAAAAATACTTGTAAATTTCTCTAAAAATATATAATTATAAAAAATAATTTTTGATCTTTTTGAAAAAAATATCAATAAAAATTAATTACAATTTTTTCTTAAAAAAATTATTTTTACCAAATTTACTATAAATATATAATTATATATATATATATATATATATATATATATAAATTATTTTTTTATCTAAAATAAATTATTTAGAAATAATTATAATTTTTTTGAAAAAATATCTAAAAAAATTGGTAAATATTTAAAATTATTTTTTGTAAGTTTTTTATAAATTTAAATTTGTTAGAAATATTTAATAATATTTAAATTAATAGAAAATTTTTATAAATAATATATTTTTATAATTTTTTTAGAAACTATTCTTTATAAGAAATAAAAAAAATTATATTCAAAAATACTAATTTATTTATTTTTTTATAATTCTTTTAATAAAAATCTAAATTAATTTTTTCTCATCTTCTTCATACTTAATTTAAACCTAACGGATAATTGCCTCTCTGTCCCGTCTGCTCCCTGCCGCTGCTGCTCCCTGCCGCTCCCTGCCCCTGCTGCTGCCGCCCCCATCCGCTGCCGCTCTCGCTCTTGCGCCGCTCCCCTGCTGCTCTTGCTCCCACTCCCGCGTTCTCCTTCGTCGCATCCGCGGTTGTCCTGCGCCGCTTCCGCATTGTCCCTGCCGCTGCTCTTGCTCACCTGATATTCATTTACCATCTTCACTCTCTCTTTAGATTTGATGGGAGATTCTCCTCTTCTTTTAACTTCTTCGTACCATGTTGGTAACTCTTTTCTCCCACTTTTATTTTTTTCTCTCTGCATGCACTCAATTCTGGATGCTCGTATGAATCATTGGATATATGCTACATATGTCCATTGTTTCTTCAATGATTATTCTCGAATATAAGAATCTCTAAGTTTGTTTCCTTCAATTCGTTACTAGTTGAGGCACTCTTTACTACCAGGTAAGTCATATCTCATCCTTCTAATTAAATTCTCTTAATATTAGTTGTTTTATGTATATGCTTTTTTATGTGTATATTTATAGATAATTATCCAATGCACTCTCAGTTTTTAGTTTTGAACATTGGTTTGAATGTCATTACTGTTTTTTTGGTGACTGTTTTCACATTCAATAATGGTTGAAGTGTGTGTTTTTTTAAGTTTCTGTTTGGCTTTTGGTTGGAGTGAATCAGAGAGTGTTAGCCTCACCACACTAAA